TGAGAGAGGAAAACACATTTAAAACTCTGGAAATGCGTCTTCACTTCGACTCATACGTTTAAAGCAATCACTGCATTTTCAGTTCCGAAATTCATTGTCGATCTATCTTGCCATTGGTGTCGCTTTCCCTATTTCGCTGGGGTAGTCTGTCGTTCGTCGCCAATTCATAGTTCTCATGTCGCCATTTCAAGGCTGTGTGGCTCGTCAAAATTTACCCCTAACAGGGTCTCCTTTGTTGGCGCATATTTTAAAGGTATTGGGCTACAGATCTCAAGATATTTGTCGTTTCTTTCCCTTTCACTGCACAAAAATCAACAAACAGGACACCAAAACAAAACTTTTCACTCGATTGTCAAGTTGTTTCCAACTTAGACACTATGGAACTCCGGAACATCAAAACACGCATTTTGCAGTCTGCTTTGTTTCCATCAAGCCGTAAATGTAACATTGAGCACGAACCCAGTATCTAATTAGAACCAACCGATAAAAGTTACTGTTATAAAACAGACGAAAATAATTATCTACCAACAAAAAAGTCGAATACCTTATCAGTATCTGCGTCAGTGGACAGTTATTTTGTTTGCGAATGAAATTTGTGACACTTTCAATTCGTTGTTTAGCAAGTGACCAAAATCTACCCACTATTGTGGTAAAATCTACTGAATGATGGTCATTAGTTCTTCCTGAACCAAAACTCACTCTAAAATGTGACTACGACAGAGTTTAGATTTTTTTTATGGCTTACACCTTAGAACTTAATTTTAGTCACATCATTACAAAACTTCCCAACACTTGTTGTGTAACTGTAGCCGTATTCGTGGTAACCTAATGATTTTTTATGCGTTTGCATGGGTGAGAATTGAGGAAACATAGACTTTTTCTTCGGCTATATTTGTTTACCAAGTTATTTCTGAAGCCCAAAATTAGGATCTGCATGCTGATGCATGTTTGACAACAACAACAACAACTTTTATTATGACTTGCATATTTACAATTTTACAGAAATATATACACATTAAGATAAAAAAAGCTTGACAATAGTAACAGCGCGAACCCGCAGGTAGGCTGGGCTAATCTAGGTGGGCCACATCTATATTTATATTAGACCATTCATACCTAAATAAGATTGTTATGCAACTACTTATAGAATGATTTACGAAACTGTTCTATACAATTACATTTGCATATTTTGATTGACACTAGGAGCAATGATTTACTAGAGATGAACTAAACTATGGGTTGAAATTAATCAGGAACTAAATTTAAGAACTTGAGTCAGGGTGTCGACTTCAACATAGTCATCCCTATCTGAAAAAAAGTCTCAAATAAAAATCTACGAATTTTTTTCTTAAGATTGGTTTAGATAAATCTCTCCAGTCTGGAGAAATTTGATTCCATAATATCGCTCCAGTTCTCGAAA